ATTTTGATGACGATGAAGTGAAACACGGCTTGTATGTTCCTGAAAAAATATCAGAACAATCAGCGAACTGCTATCTGACATGACACAAATCTATTCTATGCCATACATGCTTTCCTTACATTTGGATTCGGCCAAAAATGAAAAATGAGTAGCAATGACTTACAAAAAAAAGGACTTTTGTATTCAGAGCTGATCAATTTTCCTATAGGTGTAATTTCTTCAAAGAGTCAGGAATTAGAAAAATCTGATCATAAATAGATGGATTTCATAAAATTTTACCGAATACAAGATTCGACCCGAGTAGGAGGTCTGATCATTTGTTGTGAATCTTATGACTCATAAAGATAGTAGAAGAGAATTTGACTGAAAATTAAAACCATCGAAATACCAAAAGTTATTGTGAATAGTTGCGCACCTTTCTTTACTGAACAGTTTTAATGACTTCCGATTAAACCAAGCCACAGTTAGTGTTGAATTGTTGTTGTTAAATTAAGTTTTTGATTGTCAACTATTTCATCTTTGACGGAAACATTTTATTGTAAACACTTTTTCTTTGGTCTGTTATAGGATAGTACTTCAACAGTGTACTAGAAAATGTTTATCTAACGCTGGAAAAAGGCAGCAGTGAAGGCGGAAAGAGGCAAAGAATCAAGCTGCAAAGACTTCTGGGAGGAAGAAAAAAAGTACACCGAAAAGATGCCGAAAAATTTTGTTTGAAGGAAGCCCCAAAAAAGAAGCCGACGAAAGGTTGACTTCTAAATTCTTCTTGTACCTGGCCAAATAATTCTATCAGAAACACCCACTTAGGAAAATTGTAGACATTGATTTTTCAGAATTTTGAAAACTAGCAGCTGATGAGTTCATGAAAGAACCAAATTTGACGAACCGAATATTCATACAAAATGTTTGGCTTAAAACAGAGTGAAAGTGAGAGCATGGATCACTTCTATGGGGCCCTCAGTGACCTCATTCGCGGGTAAGCTTTTGAGCCAAAAAAGGAGTCTATTGATTGGCGGTGAAATTATCCATGCTTTCACTTTCACTCTGAATCAGGTAGAGGTGGGGGTGAATCATTTAGAGAAGACCCATGAGTTCATTCAGTATGAGACAAACGTCGCCAGCAGCTTTCATGAAGAATACCATGCAGCCGGCTTCGGGAAAATTTCAATTCGAAGAGTTTGGGAATGAGCCGGAAATGAGAATAGAAACCCAGGTTGACAGAAAATGCTTATCATACAATTCCATATTATGGAAAAAAATGATTATCATACGATTCCATACAATTCCATAGAATAAAAAAAATCGTACTAAAATTAGATGATAAACATTTTTTCCATTCAATGGAATGGTATGTTAAAACATTTTTGTGGAAGAATTTTGCTTAAAACTCAGTTTCTGATTGAGCAAAACTAAGAAATAAAATGAGGCAAAAACTACTAAAACTTAGCCTACCGTAACGTGCCAGTCTCTCAACAGAAGATCTAAACCACAGAAAACTTTATAAGTTTGAAACTCTGTTACTGTGTTTCCTGTAAGTTTCTCTCCTCCAATTCGAGACAGCAGAGAGTTACTCTTAGTGGGAACCAACAACAGGGGAAGGGTTGCCTAATACTGAAAATTACCGACAAAAAATTGAAGACGTCATTCCGAAGTGCAAATCTGCAGATCCAAAGCACACTCCATGTCAGCTCCCAGAAAACTTTACACATTTATCATCTAAAAACAAACTTCATGTGTGAAAATGCACATGGATATAAATTATACATACATCATAACTTCTATTCGTGCGAGAAAAATCGAAGTTTAAGACCACCATCGGAACCATAACGGTTGTGACTACGATCAAAAAGAACGATTCTTTCAAATTCAAACTTGCGTAGTGTGCAAATCTTTGGAAATGATGTGTTTTGAAGCGCTTTTAATTTTTTTTCTAAAACTTCAATCAGTTTTTCACTGAAAAAGATTATGATATAGCTTTCACAGTTGAAACTAATAACGTGCATTGTTACTGAAAGGATATACAGTTTTGGATTGATTTTGCACTCGGCACATGTTTAATAATTAGTTTCATCTCGAAAAGAAGTGAAATAATTACAGTCTTACACGAACTAACTCCACCCGTGCAATTCCTTCAACGTCAAAGTGTGTGTTTGCACATGAATGTACCAAATTTTGCAGTCATCTTATTTAACTTGCTTGTTTTTATTCAGCGATGGTGTCTGAATTAAAAAAAAAAGTGCATCAAAACTGTTTGGAAAAAGGTTATGTATAGAAGCGATCGCTTTTATCACAAAAGAAAGTATGTGTAAATTTAATTCTTTTTGCGGTTGCTAAATGATGAATGAAGAAATCAGAACTGATTGTTTTTCAAGTTTAACTAATATATGATTTGAAATCTCTTTGGAAATCAATCAATCAGATCAAAACCGGGGGTATTGCAACAGGGTAAGAAAATTTTTTCCCATGATTAACTTCGTTCACAGGACTCCTTGTGGTATCTTGGTTCATAAGGAACTCAATTTTGTGTCCCTTGCACACTAAACCCGGAAGTGACAAATGCGCCTGGAACGGCAAGGTCTTGGGTTCGAATCTTACTACGATCTGTTTTTTTTTCGAACTTTAGATATTTCGGTTCAAAAAGCTTAGGCCTGTTAATTGTCTGCATAGGTTATTTGGCTTAGTTGGCTTAAATTAATCGAATTCTTTTTACTGTTGTTGCTTTTTGTGTTTCACCTTTTAAAATTCTGGCGGAATCAAAATTTGCTTATTTGCACTGGTTGTAAAAACAATCGCTTTGTAAATCGCTTTTTTCCAAACAGTTTTGAAGTAGTTTTTTTTAGTTCAGACGCCGTCTCGCAGAATAAATAAAAACAAATTAATTAAGACGACTACAAAAAATGGCATGATTGCAAACAACAAGTTAGACGTCAAAGAAGTTGCAGAGGTAGAATTGTTCAGTTTAAAACAATAATCACTTCAATTCTTTTCAAGAAGAAACTAATTGTTATTGTTACACAAGCAAGAAACACAAAATGGCATCAAAAAATGAGTGCCGACTGAGAAATAATTCCGAAACTAATTATCTTTTCAATAACATTGGACGCCATAGGTTGATTTTTTTTTCAACTGTGAATGCTACCCTAATCTTTTTTTCAGTGAAAAACTGAGAAAAATTTTTTCAAATAAATTAAAGGCGTATCAAAAAACAGCAATTCCTTAAAATTTGTTGTTCACAAAATTGAAAAAGATTTAATCGTTAGTGTCAATTTAAAAAAAAATGCACGAAAAGCCCAAAGTATCCGGAATAAAACTGTCTACATCAATCTACGCATCTGGCGTAGAGTTAACAGGACAGCTTGACACAAAAATGGCTTGCTGTTCGAATTCGGCTCGGACCTGCTTTTTTGCAAACTGCAATTTTTGTGCCTTTTCGGGCTCTCGTTCGTCTCTTTATTTTGTCGGCTTAGTTCCAATCCATTTTTTTTGAAGGTTCAAAATTTTTCCAAGTTGCTGTAACCCCCATCCTTTAGACAACAAAGCCCGGGAGTTCAGACAGGTCTCGAACAGCTTTTCTACTGGAATCGTAACTTTTTTAAAGGTTCAGTTTTCTTCTAAGTTGTGGTAGACCTGTTTTGATTCCAGTCGAAACAGGTCTCGACTGGAAAGGAACTCCCAGGCTTTGTCATCTGAAGCATGGGCGTTACAGCAACTTGGAAGAAGTCTGAAACTTCAAAAAAAAAGTCGGTTACGGGAACTAAACCGACAAATATAAGCAGACGGACGACAGCCAGGAAAAGCACAAAGAGTCTAATATGCAAAAGAAAAACAGGTCCCGACCGGATTCGAAATGTAACCCTTTGCGGTCTCAAGCAGTTGTTTTACTTCTGCGCCAGATGCGTTGATTGATGTAAGCAATTTCGTTTTGGATGGTTTGGGCTTTTGTTGCAATTTTTCATTGATAAAAAAAACAATTTTTTGAAGTTATTTCAGTTTTTTTGTTTGATTTTAATGATAGTCATTCATATTTGCATTGCAAGTGGAGCAAGGCTCAGCTTCGCATTGGTGTCAAAAATGGTGTTTCATTTTTCAAAACGAAATTATTCTAGTTTGCAAAAGGTCAATTATGAAAATTTTGTAAAGTATAGAGCGATGGTTCTCAAGGTAAAAGATTATCAGAAGGAAAACAGTTCTAATTGATGTTGCTCAAGAAGTCTCTTAAGAAGTTGCTTAAGAAATCGAAGTGTCGATTTTTTTTTAAATATTGGGTGTTTTTCGAGATTAGCAAATAAGCATCAAATATTATCAGAAGTTTTGTTTGAAGCAATAAGAATCAATTATTATCAAGCAACATGAACTATTAGTTATTTTGTGGGAAATTTTCTGATGGTTAATTAGTTCACAAGAAAAAAAGCAAAAACTCAAGTGATTGTATTGTTTATGTAATATCTCTCGACCATTGTTTTTCTCATAATTTTCAGACGCTTGTTTTGTAAATTATTTTAATTTTTCAAACTTTGTTTATTTATGAATTCCGATGAATGTTTTTAAATTTCAGGATGATTCAGTTTCAAGGATCTTTATGACTGATAGATAAAACTAACTCAATGTGAGAAAACACCAATGTTTTTTTTCTATTTCGATGGAAAGAAAACGAAAATTGAATTTTTATTATTGCAGATCCGAATCCTCCATTTGGCAAATAATTTTAGAAAAATTCAGCAAATGAAAAACTAAGTTTGAGATTGAACAACATTTTTTCAAAAGCCTCGCCGTTCGAATTAGTTTTGTCACTTAAAGGATGAAAGTGTTTATCATAACTAGATTGCAGCAGGTTTGGGCTTGCTTATGTATGATTTTACATGTACCGTGCAGAAAAAGTTCGGTGCGAATGCTAATACGACGCAAACCATTTTCGATAAGCACGGCGCAATAGAGTCTTGTTTAATTTACGCTGAGTTCAAATGACTTTGTTAATCTTCAGCTAATACCACTGTTCGCTAAAAGTTATTCTGAATTGTTTAAACTTAACAAGGGATTGTTTTGGAAGGTTCTAAATTAAGTCACGCCTTTTATGAAATTATTTTCTATTCAGCCATCAAATGTGTTATTTTGAACTTTGAAAAAAATTAAGAGATAAATTTTACAGCCTAGTGCTTCTCAAATAAAACGAGTTAACTCCAGCAATCAGCTGTGTTGTTTTAAACTTCCATCTTCAAATGAGCTTCCAACAAGTTCTAACTTTCGTCTTTGTCAGCCAAATTGGTTTGATTCAAAGTTGGAATTTATTGTATGAAGCTTCTGGAAGTAATTTTTTCAACTACTTTTATTTCGTAACTTACAATGACCCAACGCACGGCTATGTAAACTATGTGGACTATCAAACGGCGGTTTCAAACGGATATATCAATTCTTCTTGTAACGGTGACGTCTATATAGGATGTGATCACAAAAACGTAGCTTCAGGACGCGGCCGGGATTCGATCCGCATCGAGTCGACACAAGAGTTCAGCTATGGGCTTTTCGTATTGTACTTGTCGCATATGCCAACAGGGTGTGGTACTTGGCCTGCCTTTTGGACATATGGACCCAATTGGCCTTACGAGGGCGAAGTAGATATAATCGAGGGGGTGAATGAACAAACGTATGATCACACCACTCTCCACACGGGACCTGGATGTGACTTCAACAGTGCACCGCCTCGAAATTTTTCAGGTAACAAAGAGACTAATTCGGACAAAAATGGGATCTTTTTAACTATTCCCCCATGGTAGCTAATAACAAATTGCCACCCCTATAATGGAATAACTCAGTTTTAACAGTTAAGTGTTGAGATGTTGTATTTAGTAAGAAAAATGCTATTATGCTTAAATGCAGAAAGAAATTAAACTTCATAAGAGCAGGAAAACAGAATTTCAGAGAGAAATAGAAAATTTTAAGACCAGAAACAAGAACGCCTGCCGAATATAGGGTATGAAAGGCTGCTTCTCAAATCCCTCACACGAATTTAACTCATGCATAATTTTGGGGTTCAATGGGGTTTTTCATCATGCTTAAGGGGGTCATTCAAGTGGTAAGAGAAGAGCTTAAGAGACTTAATTGGTCGGCAAAAAAACGGGTGGCAAAAATTTTTGATTTTTCTTTTCAGAAATCCGATCTACAACTTTCCTCTTCTCCAAAAACTCTGGATTTGCCTCTGATTTGTGTACTTCTAATTTTCAAAAATTAAAACAGCTTACATGCTACATTTGCTACAGTATGGATTAGACGCAAAAGATTTGTAGGCAAATTATTGCTGTTTAGTTGATATAAATGGGTTGAACATCATTTAAAAACACGTAAAAACTCTAAACATCATTCACTTCTGTTTTAGGAAACATTGTCGGATCGCAAGATTGCAACTCACTAATCAACGACAACTCTGGCTGCAGTATCTCCAGCTCCAATCCCAACTCCTATGGCTACAATTTAAACGCTGCGGGCGGAGGTCTCTACGCTCTACAATGGACTTCCAGTGGAATATTTTCTTGGTTCTGGAACGAAGGTCGAATCCCGAGTGACGCACTTGGAAACTCTCCAAACCCGAACAGTTGGGGAGAACCCTATGCAAGTTTCCCCTTCGGAAGTTACTGCCCAGAGTCGAACTTTAAGAGCCAGAAGATCACTTTTGATCTGACGTTTTGCGGGGATTGGGCTGGTTCCGTTTTCAGCTCCCAATGTCCAGGAAAAGGGTCCTGTAACGACTATGTCAAGTATAACCCACAGGCGTTCCAAGAAGCATACTGGAACATTCATTGGATGAAAGTTTTCAATTAGCCAATTGAAAACTTGAAGTATCATTCCAATTCATCGAAACTTTCTGAATAATTATTTGGAATTTTTTTAAATTGTACTTGATTATAGGCGATATAATTGATGTACTCAGAAAGCTACTATTTTAACACTTGTTCGAAAAATGTTTTGAGTGGAACTATTTGAGGCTAGAATTTTGTTTTGACGCGAGGCAAAATTTTTGAATTATTTTCAATTATGTTCTAAAGATGAATTTTTTGCTCATAGTATTTCGCAGAGAGTGTATTGGGTTTTTGGGTTGACCAAAAAAACTGATTGGAGCTGTAGCTTGCTTTCGAGAATTAATTTAGTTTCGAAAAGTTATTTATGTTGAGCATCATTTAAAAAAAAGATCTTCTGTTTTTAGAAGGTTATATGAAAACTATGAAGGTTATATAAAAATTGATGAGAACAAAAGTTGCTTAGATTTTTACCAGAATAATCATGGAGCAATTTTTTTTTGCGAAATTCAAAACTATAATGTGAACGCAAAAATGGGTCATTTTGGCTTCTTTTAGTTCAGCACAAAATTACGCTGAAACTACCTAGTTAATTGATGGTAAAACTTTATCAAAATGAACCTTTTGCACAAATAAACATAGAAAATTAAAATCTCCAAAATTTGTATGAGAGAACATATTTTTGCTTGATAGCCAAAAAACTTAATTGCTGAAAAAACAAATTTTAAACTAATTGAAATTTTTTTTCTGTGATCTTACATCTCTAGAACTTTGTTTGGTTGTGTAAGAGGCTAGTTTTCATGTTACTTTCCTACAAATTTAATTATCTGATGTTTGATTGATCTATTCAAAACTAAGCTTTTTCAGATTCGACAGAGAGCAAAGACATGCGGCTGACAAACAAGGGGAAACTCTAAATTCATCTGGAAGTTCTCGAACTTGCGAAAAACTTTGGAAATTTTAAGCTCTCGATAGAATCATGAGTGAAAGGACTGCCATTTATACCATAACAGTGTCCGAGGGATTTCAGCAGACCGGTTTGATTAGCAGAATAATCTTTTAGCAGACTCAGAACAATTATAAAGTCAGAGAGCTAACTTCAAACGCGGCATTGGCGATTAGCGAACCCTTGCTCCGCTGCGCTTCAATTCAACACGAGTTTTTTTTGTGCGCATAAATCTTTGTTTTGCCGCTAATTTAGACTGCTGTGTTTTTAAAGCTGACAGCTTTGTTAGCTAATTCTGAGATAATTGTCTTGGGGTAGCTTGACCACCGACTGAGCGTCTCTTTGAGTCTGGCAATCAATTATGTATCACTTCATTACGCTGGCCTGCTAAAGGACTCAATTTTCACTTTTTAGGTTAAAAGATTGGTCTGCTAAAGGATCGGTCCCCCCATAGCAGATTCAAAAAGTGAATGCTTGTTATTAGCGTATGAGTTGGAGGGACTAAAATAGCATCTGTAAATGGTGACCGACTTCTTACCAGACCGACCTTTTACCAGAAGAGTTATAACATGGACCTTTTACCAGACTCGATAATTAAGTTTGATTGACAAATATAATGACGCCGTTAAGTCTGGGTAAAGACAATGATTTCACGGTTTCTCAGCGCAGTTTTGTTCGTTCTAACCGCTTCCTTTTCGAATCTTTTTCGCTAATTTTTCTCTAAGTCCCATTTGTACCAAGGTTCATTTGTACCAAAATGAAAAATCGGTCCAAGAGTTGGCTTAATGAATGTTTTTGGAATTAACGCGATTGATTTTTTATTTTGGTATAAATGGGACTAATTTATCATTTTGGTGATTGTGAACACCCACCTTATCTTCTCAAATCACTTTTTAGAGATTCGTATTTGTCCTCGTATCATGAGTTCTACTTTTTTTAAAAACCAACTAACTTTCGAGTGATCTATTCTAAATTGGGCTGTTTTAGACTCGACAAGGAGAGCAGAGTTGTGCGATTGACAAACGAAGGAGCTCTCATAAATTTTTTGGACGAATCAAAAATATCGATTGACGAACTGTGATCAGTGTCTTAAGTGTCTTCCAATGCATTCCTTTTCATCATGGCAACCTAATGATTCACGAAGAGTTGATGGTTCTGAATGTCGAGGAACTTGCAGGTGCATCTGGAATGATGATGATGAACATAAGGCTGCCTCATAATATGCATGACTCCAACTCATATGTCATGCTAGTGTCCGATTTCTAAGTCCGATTACAAAGTTACTCCCAACTTTCAGCGGTCGGAATAACAATATGTAGACAGGTATAAAAGGTTTAAAAAGGTTTAAAAAGGTTTTAAAAGGTAATTTAACAAGGAAATTGGAAGTGAGAAGAGCCTCTGTTTGCTTTAAACATACCTGCGGTGGTGCCCATGCCCTTGCTTCGTTTTGTCTGATACGAGTAACGACTGGAACCACTACCCCTGCCGCCATTGCGCGGCGAATCCGTAAGAGGCTCTTGTTCCTAATGCACAGAATACTTCATATTTAACACTAGTATTCAAAAAAAGAGAGAGATATCCAACACCAGACAACATATTTCTTCGTTATTGCAGATTCGTCACCGCTGAACCACTTACACATCAAGCATGAAGTGTGAAAAAAGGATTTAAAAACAGATCATATTGATGTAAACCAAACATATGTACCTCATTAACTATCTCAAAATCAAATAAATCAATTCGATAGTAAATTATTATCTAGGTGACTCCAATTGATTGAATTTAAGGTATGATGTGCATTTTCTTTCTGATAAAAAACTAGCAAAAAGTCATTTCTAAAGCAGTTATTTTTGACCTCCTTTTCAACTAAAAAAATTTTGAAACAAATTTTGGTTGAATGTACGGAAGTTTGTCATGATTTGGGTCATTATGAGCATTATAGTCATTTTTGCCCGAGTGAAACAATTATATGTGGCTCGTTTTTTCCTGAAGACTCCCATGAATTCATGTAGCAATCGTAAAGGTCTAAAAACGAAGAGCTTTAATTAACTGCATACCAGCTTCAACTAATCGCCAGCTGAGCAATGCCAGCTTATCAAACGGAAGCAGTTTAAAACAAGTATTTATTTTATACTTTGATATTTCTCACTGTAAAATATTAATAAGTAACCAATCATGATCGATGACTAAAACTTACAGTAAACTGTAAAGCTGAAACTACTCTTGGTTTCAGTCAGAGAAGTAATAATTAAGGTTGAAATCAGTTGCTTTCATTTCTCCTCTAACTTCGCGATAAACCAGTACATTTCTAGATCTATTGAGACTAGAAAATATAAGATATAAGAGTAAGATTAGGATTGGTATTGGACTACGAACCTATCCGGCAGAAAAAAGATTGCGTAACCAACAGACGGTGTACCCTTCTGCACTTTAAAGCCAATTTAAAAGTTCGTTGATTGAAAAACTGACAAAAAAAAATCAAAATTTTTTTATTTATACTGCCACACGCTAAAGTAAAGTACAAAGTTTCCTAGGAAGACTGTTCGTATCAGGTCCAAACCCTGAACTTTTCGATTGATTTTAAGGTCTTTGGATCAGTGTTTGCTTTAGCAAAATTATTATTTTTTCAATCAAAATGAAAAAAAAAAGTTGAAAATTTTTTTGAGATTTTTTTTAATTATTCCCCACACGCCATTATAAGAAAAAAGTGATAGATTTTGCCTCTAGAACCGCAGCAATTATGATAAATGGTCTGCTTCAATCAATTTGGAACGGTTTCTGAGAGCGCTTAAATCTCCTCCGCTCTCGCTTTGAAAGCGCAAATAGATTGCGCGTAAATTGTCCCAAAATGGCCATATTAACAATTTATAAACGCTCATAACTTCAAAAAAATTGATCACGTGTGAGATTTTTTTAAAAAAAAATTTGAGCTCAGCAAAACTTCTCAGATGGTATGAAAAGTCTCCGACAAAAAAATCTTATTTGAAAAGTCAAAAATTGACTGAATAAAAAACTACCCATGCATAAAATTTCCGCACTTCCTTCAAAAATCGGATCAAACTTCAGAAAAACGTTTGCATTTCTCAACCAATTTTGATTTCATAAACTTCATATACCCAGCACAAAGCTTATTTTTTTGTAACCAATGAGTTCAAAACTAATTAGTTGTTTCAGGAAAGTAATCGCTGCCGAAGTCGTTGCAGAAGTCCAAATTAGAGAAAATAAAGAAAAAATGCTTGCCATACAGTTTAATTTTTTTCCGAGTTTTTTCTGATTTAAAGAGATTTAATTTTTGTTGCCGCGCCTTTTTAACGTATTTTTTTTTGTAATTGGTTTCGTTTTTCTACTAATTGAAATTATTGTATTCGGATTTTTGATGATTAGCTCTGCTTAAACAAAATTTATAATTTTACCTGATTATGAGCTGTAAGACACAATAAAAGTTTCAGCCTGAGAGATACTAAGTTTTAAAAAAATAAATATTCATTAAAAGCTTCTGGTTTTGAAAAGCTTCAGAAATTGCTACTCATTCATTTTTTAGAAAAATTGTATGACCTATATGTCTGCTGAAGAAACTGCATTTTTACAATCAGAAACTAAAAAATCAATTGCATTCATGCAACTTTTTTGAAACTTTGTCGATAACAAAGTATAGACACATTATTTTTCAAAAGATCAAAAGAACCCGTTTTTATGAAACGAGAATGATCGTTATTTTTTATTAATACAATGATTTACAGCCACAACAGATTTGTCAAAAACAAGCAAAAGCATCAAATCGCATCAAAATGGTAGCGGAAGCGAACTTAGAGGCAGTACTGGGGGGAACAAGCATTAGTTGAGTTGAATTACCGACAGAAACATGAAAAAAGTTATACCCTTTTTTAAAATCGTACATCAAATTTTAAGCTTCAAAACTTCGATTACAAGTGATGAAAACTTATAAGATATATTTTGGCGGGCAAACTTCAAACAAATACAACAAAATGTAAGGACTCCGCAAATGTAAGTGGAACCCGCAAAACTTGTAAGCGGAATCCGCAAAAGTAAGCGGATTCCGCAAACTGTAAGTGGATTCAGGGTTTTGTTTATTACTGAACATGCATATGAACAATTGAAAGCTAGAGCTAGAATTCTTATCAATAGCAATGCTGAATTTAAAGGCAAGGACTTAACCATTGTCAGCGGAATTCACGAACAAATC